GTCTCATCCTCTCAGATGTTGTTATGGATTTAATTGTGTCCCTTTGCCCCCCAAAATTCATATGTTGAAGTCCTAAGCCCCAGTACCTCACAGTGTGATTGTATTCAGATATAGGACCCTTAAAGAGATAATTAAGGTAAAATGAGGTCATATAAGTGGGCCCTAATTCAAAATGACTGATGTCCTTATAAGAAGAGGCGATTAGGACACAGACACACACAGAGGGACGACCACGTGAAGACACAGGGAGAAGATGGCCGTCGACAAGGCAAGGAGAGAGGCCTCAGAAGAAATCAACCCTCTTGACACTTTGATCTTGGACTTCTAGCCTCCAGAACTGTGAGAAAATAAATGTCTGTCGTTTAAGCCCCCAGTCTGTGGTGCTTTGTTATGGCAGCCCAAGCTGACTAATACAGATGTCCTGGTTGTACAAGTTACACATGATTCGATGCACCTGCTTCAGTTCCCCAGGTGGGCAGAGACACGGTCCCTGAAGCCCACCAGCAACACTGCATTGGAATAATCTGGAGGCCCGACAGCATATATTTTGTGCCTCCTTCTTAGCAAGTCTTGGGGCACGTTGGCTGCACAGGGGTAGTTTTTGTCAATGCCCCTGTGGTTATAGGAGGGGCATGGGGGAAATGGGGAGGGGGCCATCACCTTACTCCTGTGGCTTAAAACTCGTCAATATCTTCTCATTGTCTGCAGTACCCAATTAAACACCATTTCATGAGCCAACTCCGGGCAATTGTTGAGAAGGATTTAGAGGACTCATTCTGGCTCTGTGGGAAGAAATGTCATGATTGATTAGCAATGTCTGCTCTGGGCAAGGAAGGAAGGCATGACAGACACGTGCCATCTATTTGCAGTCTTTTAGAACATAGGGAGCTCCATCTGAACCAAGGAGAAGTCAGTGTAGCCAAAGGGAGCTGGATATGATGACAAAGGTCATACAGTTCTAGGCCACTTGTTGGTTATCAATGCCAATAGCTGGCTGACAAACAGATGTCATCATGCCTGCCACCTCTGGTCAACTTGTCATGGCCACCTGAGCATGAAAATTCATGTCCATGCTCATGTCCCTGGAACTCCCCAATGTCTGCCATGGGCCTGGACTGCAGGAATGGGGGCATGATTCTCTGTTTTTCTGACCCTGATGCACTCTCCAGGAGGAATTCAGGGTTCCTTTCTAAAACGCCACGCCAAGGGCAGGGATGAAATGCCATTCTGAAGTCTGTGGGATTCTATGGGCCAAGGCACTAGGAGTCAGATCTTTTAGAGGAAGGACACAGACACCCGAGGGCCTGGCCTCCCTACCTGGGACATGCATACCACTGAGGGTGCAGGAGAGTGGCCCAGGAAAAAGGGCATGTCTTTCCAGAGTGGTACCTGGTAGGCTGCCTATTTTCTATTAAAACAAAGGTGTATTACAGAGTAGAATAAAATATTTAAAAATAACTAAACATGAAAAAATAAAGAATTAAAGGATTAAAAATTAAAAAATAATTCCATGGGTACAGAGTGAAACTATATACTGAACATGAAATGAGTGCCTTGAGGTCAGTCATTTACTGAGACCCCAGGGTCACATTCCCTCTTCTGTCACAGGGTCAGCAAGTGGGCAGAACATGATGAAAGGGGCTTGAGGCCAAAGCTGTAAGCACACTGGGGGATGCTCATTTGTGTGGAAGCCCCTCTGTGCTACAGGGGCCTCTCAGAAGCCTGTGGCTCAAGGGGTAAGTGGTGGCGGGGGATTCTGAGATTAGGTATCCCAGCCTGATCCTTCCCATCTAGGACATTCTCTTCCTATGTTTCCCTTGAAATAAGTTTCCCAGTGGGGCTCTACTTGGAGGGCTTAAAGCATCACCGTTCCTGGGGGCACCGCAGGGACCCCTCCAGGAATGTCCAGCCCTAGCAGCATGTGTTCAAGAACACACAGAGGAAATCTACTGAGCACCAATGTCCATGGTGAAGATAGGAGCCGACTGTGGAAGATGAGCTTCACAAGGACTTCATTTGTGAAACAACTACTATGCCCCGAGCTCTTTCACATTGTCAACTATGGTTTCCACAGCAACCTAGCAAAAAGGCAATATTTCCCTAAGTTTATAAATGTGGAAACTGAGTCTGAGAAGGAGCTAGGGGCTTCCATGCAATAACTGATTGTAGTAGAGACCAATTATAGAAGGACCACTCTGTAGGTCCCAAAATATGAATTATCTCATTTAATTTCATCCTCACGAAGTGGAATTGGTGATCATAGTTAAATGCATCTGCCCTTTTTTTGAGTCCTGACTCTAAATCAGGGATGTTTTCCTTTGAGCAACCTCATATGATAGGTACAGCATAGGTGAGAAGAAGGTAAGTTTCAAAATTGGATGATCCCAGTTTGGAATACCAGCTCTCCTACTCTGAATTAACCTTGGGTACTTCAAGTTGCTTCTCTGATCCCAAGTTTCCTCAACAGGAAAATGGGGATAATAATTGTTACTCTAGGAATTAAATGACAGTAGATATCAAAGGCTTAGCATATAAGTGCTTAACAAATAGAACTGACTTTCAGGTACTGGTTCTCCTGAGGTTTTATGAATGAGAGAACAGAAGCTCAAAAAGGCACTCACTTAAGGTCATCTGATGAGTGACAGAGCCAGGACTAAATGCTGATCTGTCAGATGCAAACATCGTGTTCTTTCTCCCCTATGTACACAAGATAACTGTCACAGGGCTGATCCTGAGTCATCAGGAAATGCATAAATCCCCATTAGCCAGCTCTCTGATGGTAGGAAGTATGTAATGCACTTTAGGAATATTTCCTTCCAAAACAATTAAAATATTTGAAAATGTTGTCCCTTTTAATATTTTAATGTGAACTTCAGTCATCTAAAAAATTCATGGACAGAGACCAGTTCCAGAGCTTTCACTGCCAAAATTCGGAGTCATTATGGTTTTCCTCCACATCATTAACCTTGGAGTCTTGGAACTTCATCAATTTTATAAACACGGTTCTTTCTATTGTGGCTAGACGAGATAATTTCAGGACACTTTCTTTGATACCATTTCATTTTCCATTTAGATCTTGGAAATCATGTGGACTTTGAATGATACCATGCACAAACCACCTTAGGACTGCAGATTTTGAGTTTGCTCTGATGGTGTGTCCTGGTAGTGTAAATATTTGTTGGAGAAAGATTAACTAGCAAGCCAGTATATTCAGAATCTCTGCCTCTTTCATTATAAACTAGTAAGGAAATAAACTGGAAAGATATACAATTCTCTAAATCATAAATTATAAGCAGTCATTGAACTTCTAGGCGAACTATTTTTTTTCAGGCTAATTAAGGTTCATGCTACTAGAAAACAACATTTATTCCACCATAACCTTGTTTATTTTAAATTTACATCTTAAATATCTAATGGCCAGAAATTTGCTATCATCTTCCAACTGTATTTGAGTCCAGAGAGAGACACATTAAATGTCATACATTCACTACTCGCATGTTGTTCAGAAATAATAAAAACAATTGGAAAAAGTGATTGGGAAATCAACCATTTGGAACAAGAATACATTAATGCAAAGATTACAGAGACTAAACAGACAGATTACCCACAATTTCTCTTTTGGATAAATGTGAAGTCATTTATTTCAGAACAGTTTTTCAAGGGTAAGTTTTTGCTTGCCAATTTTCCTTCTAATGTGTCTTCAAAGCTGGTACATATCTTATGCTGAGCCATCCCTGAAAATGTAGCTTTAACTCAAATCCAACTTGCAAATCACATCTAAGGCCTTGGATATTTGGCTTTATGACGTCCTAAACCCACTGTGCAGGTTTACAAAGACCACAAATCAGGTTTTACTGCAGTCTGTCTCAAGCGGCGGCTTAGGAAAGGGAGGGAAGGACAGGAGACTTGAGTTCCCCAGCCCCTAGGCATGGGTCTCCTAACTCACTGATACATATTTTATATAAATAGTGAGACTACATTACAGATACTCTAATCCTCTGGCTGGCATCTCAGGAGGCTCAGGTAAACCAACACAACGATTGAGAAGATCCTGCAAGCTGATGCAGAAGTGGATGAAAATGGAACCTCTCCCAGTGAAGGCAGCATGGACGCCCTGTCTGGGACTTTATTTCTGGATCCAAGGCCACATTGTGACCTTATTGCCTTGGTCTTTCCTGACAGTCTTTCCCTTCCAGAACTTCCCCCGTGGGCAGTAGAGACTGCTATAAAATTTGCTTCCATAATACATTCCCAAAAATAGCATCCAGAGCCATTTTTCACTTCTACATTGATATAGGAAAAAATATTTGAATATTTGTATTAGGCTTTTGGCTGCAGATCAGGACAAAATCCAAGTGAGACTTGACATTTTAGAAAGTCTGCAGCCAACAGAACTTTTCCCAGAAGTTACATCAATTGCGACCTTCATCAGCTACACTGATAAAAATCTGTTCTGTGTGACTGTCAGCCACAAGAAGGGACTGAATTTTAAGCACTGAACTTGACGAGAACAAATTTCTAACTTTGATCCAGTTTCAGCTCACACTCCTCAAACCCCTCCATGGCAGAGCAGCCGAGGGCCCCCACATGGAGAGCTGCTGGCTCAGGACAGTGACAGTGCTTGAACACAGCGCAACACTTTTTCGGGTTTTTGCGACTCGAGCCCCGCAGCACAACTGGAGCAGCTGCAACGCAAGCCGGGTGCGGCTCCCACCCAGGCGGGGCAAGGGCTGCTGCTACCTGCCGGCGCGGGGCTGGCTCTCCCCGTCGACCGAGGTGCGTACCGGGCGCAGTGCCGCGGAGGAGGGGGTCCGGCTCTGGGCGGCCACGAGGGTCCCCTCACAAGCGGAACTCGGCCCAACCTCAGAGCGTAGATCTTCTGCCTGCGGCCAGTGGGCCTGGAACCCACCCGCGCGACACCCTCTCAGCGCCGCCGATGCTGCGCCCCCTCCCCGCAGGCGCCGCGGCGGCGGGTCCCGGGATGCTCCCGCAGTCCTTACCTGGCGAGGGCCGTCCCGTGCGCTCGCGGGGCCCTGGCCCGGCCGGGTCGCAGGGGACGCGGGGGCCGCTGCCCAGGCCCGGCTCGGCGGGCAGCGACTGGGCTGCGACTGAGTCAGTGCCCCGGCGGCGCGCGCGAGCTCGGGCCGGCCGCCGAGAGGGGGCTCTGAGCGGAGCCGTGGCCTCCCTGGCATTTTAAAGGCGATGCAGCTGGATGCTGTTCAAGCGGAAACGCAGGGAGAAACTTAGCTCCCGGGCCTGGTGCGGCCAGCGCGGGGAGGGGGCCCAAGAGCCCCTTGCCGGCACACAAACCAGCCTGGGCTTTCCTGACATGCTCTTCAAAAGCATCCCTTTCAGATATTTCCTTTAGGAGAAAACAAATACCTCTGTCAAAGCGTCAGCCTGAACTGTGCTTAATAGCGAGACAAACATTTCCATTAAAGTTAGCAGTAGGACCAGGAGGCCGGTTTGGAAAGTCTCATCAATGCAATTAGACTAGAGAAGAAACTAAGGTGTCAAAATACCGAAGTTGTGGCCTTGTAAAACCAAAAAAAAAAAAAAAATTTTCTTTTTTTTTAAATTGGAAATCAGGAGAAAAATGATGACTATTTGCGGGGGATATGATTGTCTATTGAAAAATTCAAACTGAAGATTGAGTGAGCCTTTTCCAATGCACTGGCCAGTTACAAAGTAAACATGCAAAATTAACGGTGTTCTTGTGCACTTACTACCCAATTAGAAATGTAAATGAAAAATCTCACTCTCACTGATAGCCAAACCATAAATAGCTAGGAATATAAACTTATCGGGGAATATGCTCTACTTTGTAAAAGACTTCTACTTTCTACTAGGGGACCAAAGAAGGCTTGAAACTATTAAGACACAATCCTCATTCTTGGACAAGAAGAAGTGAACATTGTAGCCCTGTCACATCCTCTTTATCTGTAAATTCAATACAATCTCCATCAAATTCCAAGTAAAATTTTCTTTTTAACTTGACATGATGATTCTAGGTCTTGTGTGGAAGAATAGAGAGAGAGCAGTCAACAACAAGTTGATCAAGAAAGGTATAAGAGAATCCAGCCCACCGAATACTAAAATGAAAGTGCACACATGCATGCATGGATGAATGAGCGAATAAAATACAACATTGACTGGGTGCTTACTACTTAAGGAAGTGCTTTATATGTATTAATGCATTTTATTCCTCATTACAACCCTATGATGCAGATATTAATATTGCTGTCACCTTCAGGGATAGAAAGCCCAGTAGGATAAATCCCAAAGTCACAGAGCTGGAAGTGGGGATCAGCAGTTTGATGCAGGCATTCTGCCTCCAGATCTATGCATCTGTGCTTGAACCTCTGTCACACTACTCTGCCTTTATCACAAAGCAGCGGTGATTAAAAGAGCATGTTAGTGTCCTAGAGATGACTATTCAATGGAGTAGGACAAAGAACCTTTAATTAGAAGTATGTGAGGAATTGTAGTGTTTAAGGGGGCACTTCAAATTGACAGAATAGATGGAGTTTTCAAAAAATGAGATTGGAATAACTGGATAGTAATTAGTGGGAGCTGATTTCCCACCTAGTTCGCTAGACCAAAATAAATTCCAAATCCATCAAATATTGAATGTAAAAAAGTGAAGCCAAAAAATAATTGGATGAATATTTGTTATAAACCTGGGACTGTGAAAGCCTTTCTAAATATATCACAAAATCATAAAGGCAAAGATTGATAGATATGATTATTAAAAATTCAAATAAATTTCTTTAAGAAAAAAGACACCATAAACAGAATTAAAAACTAAATGACAAACTGGAAAAAAACTTACTATATGTATGACATAGGATTGCTGTATTTAAGAAATAGAAATACAAACACTCAGTTAAATTTGAGTTTCAGGTAGACAATGAACAATTTTTAGTATGAGTATGTCCCATTTATTGTTTATCTGAAAGTCAAATTTAACTAGAGGTCTTATATTTTATCTGGCAACCTTAAGATGACAGCAAAATTTTAATGTATATGGTTTACATTATAATCATAATAATCACATATAACCAATTATATAAAGTATAGTCATTAATGAAAAAGATAATCACCTCAACAGAAGAGGGAATAAAAGAGACAAACAGGCAATTCACAAAGAAGAAATACAAATGTCTAATCAATAGAAAAAACTCTCTAGCAATTAAAGAAATGCGAATAAGTCTGAAAAGCTGTACTTTTTACCTACTAGACTGGCAAATTTTAAAATATTGATAAAATTCAGTGCTGGTGAGAGGCTTGGGGAAATTGGCATTCTCTCTCACCATTGGTGAGAATGCAAATTAGTACAGAATTTCCAGAAAGCAGTTTGGGAACAAATAGAATACTTTATGTGCATAGCAATAAACCATGCAAATCCATTTTCAAGAATTTAACAAGATAATTTGACAAGTGAACAAAATGCATGGTGCAGATGTTTATCGCTTTGCATAAATAATTTATAATAGTGAAAAATAGGAAACAACCTAAATGTCTATAGCTAGAGGATAAGTTAATTAAATAATAATAACATTGAGACTTCACTGCAATGCAGGCACTCTCCTAAGCACTTCCTGTGTGTTAATTTGTGTATTAAAACAAAACAAAATGAAACAAATCCCTTCCACCCCTCACCGCATCTCCTATGAGTAGGAAGACACTATTAACGTCTCTGTTTTACAGAAGGAGAAGCAGGACAGAGAGGTTAAGCAACTTTCCTAAGGACTCACAGCTGAAAAATGGGAGAAAGGGATTTAAATAGAGACAGTTTGCCTCCGGAGACCATGCTCTTAGCTCTTGTGCTATGCTGTGTACTTAGTGGAATCTCACAGATAGCATGCAAGGATGAATTCATCCATAGGGTGGAAAACTATGTAGCCATTGACAATGACAATGTGACTCTACACTTGTTGGCATAGAAAATGTTCATAGCATATTATTAAGTGAAAAAGTAAGTTTCCAAAACCGTAATGCTATAGACTGATTGTTTGTGTCCCCCTCCCAAATTCATTTGTTGAAACCTAATCCCCAGTGTGATGGTTGGGCCTTTGGGAGGTGATCAGGTCATGAGGACAGAGCCCTCATGCATGAGATTAGTGCCCTTATAAAAGAGACCCCACAGAGCTCCCTGCCCCTTCAGTCATGTGAGGACTCAGCGAGAAGACAGCTCATCTGTGAAAACAGGATGCTGGCTCTAATCAAACACCAAATCTGCCAGCACCCTGATCTTGGACTTCCAGCCTCCAGAACTGTGAGAAATAAATTTCTGTTGTTTATAAGCCACCGGGTTTATGATATTTTGTTATATCAGCCCAAATGAACTAAGACACACATACATAGTATGATCCCATTTATGAAAAATTGAATCTATTTATATATGGCCATATGGATGGGCATAGAGAACTATCTGGATGAATAATCACCAATATATTAACAGCCTTTCTTTCTGAATGATGGGATTTCAGGGGATTTTTTACTTTCTTTTTTATACTTTTCTAAATGACTTAGGTGTTAAAATTATCAACATAGGTTATTTAAATATCAAGAAAAAAATGAAAACAAAATTTTGGGGGAAAATTCCCATCTTATGATTTAGTCCTTCGGCATCTTGACGTTCTAGGCTTTCCCTAAATTAGTTGTCTCTCTCTCCAAATTCTGAGAGCTCAGATCCCTGGCTGAGGACTCAGCCTGGAGGATCCTGCAAGTTCTCAGCCCCAGGTGGATCCCAAGCGTCCTTCGTGCACCTCCTGCCTACCCTCTAGCTGAACGAGGAGGACAGTGCACTGGGCCACTTCAGGGAAAGCCTCGGTGCTGTCATGAAAGGTGCTGAGAACCTGTGTAAGTGCTATTTATTCACTGGGCCTCAGTGTCTCATCTGTAAAATGAGATGTATCAGTTAGGGTTCTAGTCGCAAGGGACAGAAATCCAACTTAACTTTCTTAAGAAATAAAGCATATTCCCTGGAAGGATTAGAGAATCCAAGGAGAGTAAGACAATCGAGGCAGAGTAAGGAGCGAGATGCAAATGTGCCTAAAGGGCTGCTGGAGCCATTGGCTCTAAGGCTTCTCTCTCTACTCCCTGTCTCTGTTTCTGTCTGGGCATCTGTTTCCTTCTGCCCTTTAATTCTACCCTCGTTTCCTCTCATCCTCAATTCATGAGAACATGGCTGGCTCCTGAGTTTTAGATAACAACTTCAGTCACCTAAAGAGATTAATTGTCTTGGTACTTGGTAGTTTTAAAATTTCTAAGTGGGGGCTTCATTAACCCAGTTTGGGACAAATGCTCACTAGTGGGGCATCATCACTCAGGACAGACTGGGTTACACTGTTGTTACAAACAATCCCTAAATCTCAGTGTCTTACTGCAATAGAGTTTACCTGTCACTCACATTGTGCATCCATTGTGCGTAGGCTGTGGTTTGGCATCATGTTGGGAACCCCACTTGGGAACTCAACCTGAAGAAGTAGTTTATATAGGGAGCATTTCGGTCTAATGGCAGAGGGAAAGAGAGGACACAGCAAACTTTGGGTTGGCTCTTAAAGTTGCTGACAGAGCAAGTCACATGGCCGAGCTTAATGTCAGTGGGACAAGGAAGTCTCCAGCTCCTTCAGAGCAACAATACAGCCTCCCACAGCCAGTAAACTGTGGCCAAGGGGATGGGGTTGTAACAGAATATGACATTGATCATCACAACTATTGGCTGGAACAGGCAGTGATGTCATGTTCTGACATGTCTCCATCCAGAGAAAAAGGAATGGGAACATTAAGCAGACAACTGCATAAATCTTGACCACAGTTGTCATTAAGTTAGGACTCCATGAAGTTGGAAGGGGGCTAAATGGTCCATGAGGGCAGTGAGGGCACACTGGAAGGAATGCAGGACTTGGAGCCAGATAGCCCTGCATTCAAGTTCTCCCTCGGCAACTCACTAGATATATCGCCATGGCCAAGTCACAGCATTTAATGTCTTCTCGATCATGAAATAGAGATAACAGTTCTTGCAGGATTGTGGCAGAGATCAAATGCAAACCGCTTAGCAGAAGAGTCACAGGGTGGGCCTCTTTGTTAATCTTTGAAAAGAGAAAGTTACCCACTTGCTTCTGCTCAGTGTCCACTGGGAGCAAATCAGTGTAATCCCTCATGAAGGGA